TTTATATCAATTAAGAAGCATATTAATTTCACACAAATAGCTACTGAACTCAGCATAGACTTTTAAGTATATTATATAGAAAAATCTTATTTTTAAGCATTAAAAAGCTAAACCAAAAAGAATTAGCAGAAATTAGGAAGTTGGGAAGTGCTTGAGATTTCAGAAAAGAATCACTCACAAAGTCAGTCCCTTATGATTTTTTAGAAGCCATGGCTTATTGTTTTGCCTCTATGCCATAAGTAATCTCTTTGAATAACATCTTTTGTTCAAAAATTCAAATGTAACTACTTTCTGACATAAACATTTCTGGTTAACAAATTGCTCACCAGTATCTTGTTTACATTGACCCCTTCAGTGATTAATTTAAAAAATTCTAAATATATTTAGAATCATATCATACAGATATGATTCTAAATATATTCAAGATGCAAAGTGATAAGTAGCTTAAAAATAACATTTTCATTTTGAAGTGATTTGTATCAGTTTACCCTATAAACACTAATACTCTAATAGATAGATTAATTCTTTGTAAGCATGACTCCTGGGACATTGCCAATATCTGGGTTTTTTCCCCCATTATTTGCCTCCTTCGCAGAGTTCATTATATAAGCTACTAGTGGCCTGGTGCACGGATTCATGCACATTGAAAGGAAGTTAATTAGAAGGTGGCCATGGGGTGAGACTGGGTGAGACGGGCCGGACATGCCCTGTAGCCAACCTCTCAGGTTCCCTCCCCGGCCACACCTGGGGTGGCGCCGGGGCTCGAAGGGCATCTGCAGAGTGAGTGGGTAATGAAAAGAATATAGGACTACACTGAGTCTCCTATCTACCTACTCCAGGACTTCTGTGAGGATCAAACGAGATAAGGCATAGGAAAAGCACTTCACAGACATTTGGTTAAACTATGAAATGTTTCCACCTGGCTATAAAGCAAGTCATATTCCTGGCTGAAGACACTACAAGGAGGCTAGTTGCTAGGGAGAGGAAGCTGGGCATTGCTATGTGACATCATTACCCGGCACCCACAGCCACTGTTTCTGGGCTGGGTTGGGCTGAGCTGGGGGCCACATTTTGCACCATGGGGTCTTGACAGTGTTGGCTGTGATTTGATGGGCTGTAGCTCCGCGGTGGTGGCGAGGCCTGTGTCCCACTTGGGGGAAGCCGAGTGTTGCTTTGTTGGTGCCAGGTCCGCGGTGCCATTTCTCTGTAAATGGCCAGTGTGTGTTATGGCAGCTCCTGTGTTGAGTGTCTGCCCCCTGGTAGTCCGTGCATGTCATAGTGACCGGTCGGATGGTCAGAGGGACACTTAGCATATTAGCCTTTATATAGAGAGATACTTGGACACACCCAATTATCACCCCTATCACTGTGCAATTTGCTTACTTTATTTGAAAACTTTCCATCTTATAGTTTCAAAGTTTCGTTTTTATTTTTTACTTGTGGACTATAAGAGCTATTGTATTTGAAACACAAGTGTACTTCTGTGTGCACCTTCCACACCATCCAGCTAGGATTAAAGGGTAATGTCTCAGCAATTGTGTAAATTCACATTCTTGGGTTCCAAGCAACACTTTTAGAAAAGGTTTCTTTCTTCTTTGTTATTTCAAAAATAAACAGTTACAGAACTGGTTCCTATCATGAATGGGCTGCTTCTATCATGGAATCACCCGATCTCAGAGCTGGATCTAGTCCAATATCCCACTCAGTTCAAGAATTCTTTCTTTAGCATAATTTAGCTCCTGGATGGATGATCATCTAGCCTTGGGTTAACTACGGCGGTGAGGTGTAATTATCCCACAAGAAAGAAAAATCATATTACTATGGAGGATATTTACCTGTGCTTTCTAAATTACCTCTATTAAGCATGTGCAATTTTTATAATTAGGAAAAAAGTTATAAAAATGCATATCAATACTTTAAAAAATGATATGCCTTTTGCATTTTCATCTAAAAAGTTGATGAGTGTTAAAGAATAAAGACAAGGATAGAGCCCTACTTCTAGTAGAGATTTCCCTCCAGGGTGATACAGGGCTATTCATTTATTATTAGGATTGTTAATTTAAACCCAACCCTTCCTGGCAATAGTGACATATTGAAGTTGTATTAATATGGCAAAGGATGCAGGCTTTTGATTCCATATCTTCATATTTGTTATATTCTCAAAAAATAGAATTGTCTGGTGGAATTTCTCCTTCCCTTTCTTAGTTTAAAAGCAATTTCTCAAGAATTCATAGAAATAATGAATAATTGAGTCAGTCAAGCATGAAAAAATAATATTCTTTTTCTACTATAATGCATGTTTTTAAAAACTAAACAAAATAGTTTAGATTTAAAACTCTGAAATTTGGCATAAAATGAATACTCAAAGGACCATTAATGCATGTCTGAGTGTGGGAAAGCATTTGCCTTTGAGAAAATTTGAGAATAAAAAAACATACATTTTGCTGGGTGTGGACAGAGAATTAGGCCTTATTCAGAAAGAAATGGTTACATGATATAATTGTTTCTGATAGAATATACACAAAGAACACACTGACTTTGAGAAGTTCAGTTCAATTTGACTTTTTATCTATCTCTTTATTTCCCTGAGACCTGGCCTTTGAATGATTTCTTTTTTTAAATGTAGCCTAAAACTGAATAGTATATTTTTTTCTAAAATTTGCCAGTGAAGCAAGCAAAAGCAGGGCTCATCACCTTCACAGCATGGTATCTTTCCTCCACTTCTCCAGGTCACTGCTCATCTCAGAGCAAGAATGGAGACTGAACGTGGGGTGTGGAGCTGTTACATGGGCCCAGGGCCAGAAAGAGCGAGGGGCCTGAGAAGAGGAATGACTTATGTGCTGGATAAAACATGGCAATGTGTTGCTAACGTTTTCCTTGGAAAGAATGCATCTGGTCTTGATAAAAGCATTTTTTTTGCACCATATCAGATTTCACATCAATGATAGTCATTGTTTTGAACTGAAACCTAAGAGAGAAAAATGTCATTCTGAATCTTACTGCGCAAGATGAAGTCAGAGAAAGTCCTGGGCATGCGCAATCTCTCATAGTTAGCCTATCTCTTCAAGCGCAGGTCAACAACCACTAAGCCCCAAGCACTAGGATTCAAAGATTAATAAAGTGTAGGCCTTGCTCGCAAAGAGCTTACAGTCAAGTACGAGAGAAATACACTTAGATGTGACCTGAAGGTCAGCACGATAAATGTGTGCCCGGGTTATTATGTGGTCACAGAGGGGAACCCCTGACTCAGCCTAGAAGGGTATCTAGGGACCCTCCAACCCAGGCAGTAAACTTCTCTGAGCAGCATCTTCACCTCAGTATAGCCCATAGTAAGCGCTAGATAAATATTTGCTGGACTTGGCTGAGTGCATTATATTGACATTAAAAGTTTTCATGCAAGACCAAAGGGCTGATTGAAGGTGTGTGTATATTCCCATTAAAGCTTTGAAGAATTCAGATATATAGCCTGCTTATTTTCTCCACAACACTTAGCACGCCCAATATTGTATACATTACTGTCTTTATTGTCCGCTACCCCTTAACCCCCAGAAGTGTGAGCTCCTTGAGAATGGGATTTGTATTTCCATTGCTTATAACTGTTGATGGCATCTAGCGTACTGAGTAAATATGTACTGAATGAGTGTGAAGTTCAACACTAGTTGAACTGATAAAATGGACAGTTTAAGAGAAAAAGAGGGGAATTTTGCTTTGCTTTTATCTTTTGGATATATGAAGCAAATTTATGAGACAGTATGAGAATTCAGTGCCTAAGTTATCGTTGTGTACAGCAATGATTCTTGGTGTTTTGAAAATCTTATGGATGCTATTAACTCCCTCTATAGAAAAATGCACATACACCTCAAGTTTTGACATCAACAAGTATACAAAAACATTTAATTGAGACTGTAATGGAGAAGGGAAAATTTTTTTGAAAGAATTGACTAGACATTTTTGTGGATTTGCTTATTTTTTTGGAAACAATTCTAATGCCCATCTAGTACTACTCTTTATTTTATTTGTAAAATGGGACTTATTATATGATCGATGTGTCAAGGAGGTTATATTGTCTAGCTCAATATTGAAGTATATTTTTTAAAAATATATTATTTATTTGATTTTTCCCCCTCTAACTCTCCTTAACTTTATTTAGCCAAAAAAATGTTTTAGATATATCAATATATATATATCATTAATAAGTTAAAAGTAGGCACTTAATTTTAAAAGGTATAAAAAAAAATTTTCTCAGTATTCAGAATACAAAATAGAATACATTTTAAAATTAAGCCCACTTTTTTGTTATTAAATTTATTAGGGTATCATTGGTTAATAACATATTCAGATGTACAACTTTAGAATACAACATGTGTATATTGTGTGCTCCCTGCCTGTGCGCCCTTGTCATTTGTTGTCACCTTATATTTGACCCCCTTTCCCTCTTCTAAAACCCCTAACTTTTGAAAATGGTTATCCAAAAATGTTGCTATCTCAAAAGGTCTGGAGTTATAAATAATTTCCTATATCAGATGTGGTAGGCAGTCCCTACAATGGCTCTCAAAGATCCCTGCCTCCTAGTATTCACACATTTTGTGCAGTCTTTTTTGATTGTGGACTAAATCTAGTGACTTGATTTAAAAGAATAGCATATGGCAAAAGTGATGGGATGTCACTTTTGAAATTAGGTTATAAAAGACCAACTTCCATTTTGCTTCTCTCTCTCTCTCTCTCTCTCTCTCTCTCTCTCACACACACACACACAAACACACACACACACACACACACACACACACACGCACTCACACTTCTTGCTTGCTTGTTGTGATGAAGCAAGTTATCATGGGTGCCCTATAAAGAGTCCAATGTAGTGAGCAAGGCCAATCAGGAACTGAATTCTGCTAACATCCATGTCAGTGAACTTGGAATCTAATTCTCCCCTGGTTGAGCCTTGAGATGAAAACCGCCCTGGCCATCGCCTTGACTCTGGCAGAGGTTAGTGGCAGAGGCCCAGGCCCTGGGTTATGGGAGAGGGAGAACATGCGTATGAAAGGTTGTACTCAGGAGAGAGATACAGGAGATTCATTCACGATGAACAGGCCTGACAGAAAGCACAAAGGCACGGTGGAAATTTGAAGAACTTGTCTTGTGAGAGACCCTGGGCCAAGGTCCCCAGCCAAGCTGCCTCTGGATTCCTGAACCACAAAAACTGTGAGATAAATGTAGGCCACTAAGTTTTGTGGTAATTTCTTACATATTAGTAGGTAATGAATACATCAAGAACGACCTTATCTACAGCCAGGGAAACTGATGTTATAACTTAAATGTTACTGAAATGGCTTTTAGTGTAGATGTCAGTAAATCAGTAGTATTTCAGACTAAGAGTAGCATATTTTCGAAAAACCATCCTTACTAAGACCTCAGGTGACTCATTTTTTTAAAAAATTATCTAGTTTCTTGGTTCTCTAACAAACTTCTCCCCCACCCCAAGTTTTTCTTTGTAGCATATTGTTTCTATTTCATTTTAATAAGTTGAATGGAGAGAAATATTAACAATGTCTTATAATAAAACTGTTAGATTTGATAGTTTCATTAAATGACTATAGAAATAAGGAGATTTCTGAGAAGAAAACCTATTATGTTTATACATTTACATTTATATCTGCTGCAATTATTAATGGTTTTGAAATAACTGGCATGTGTTAGAATATTTATATATCAATTTCTAAGAGGAATCTAGGGAGATTTCAGTTTTAGGCTGGGTATATTAAATGCTCTTCCTCCTGTGGGAATATTATAGATTGTAAAGATTATCATAACTAGAACAGGGCAACAAAAGAAACAAACACAAGTAGACTGTATCACTGAGGGGGAAAAAACCTCTTTCCTGTGATTGGTATAGATTTTAAAGCGGCTAATTCTGGGGGAGGAAATGTGATACATTATCTTCTTTGAGGTATGGGAGCTGGGAGAAGGGCATATGAAAATGTGGGATCTTCTGGTACAAGAGAATTAAACTACTGTTTGCTTCTCTCTCTCTCTCTCTCTCTCTCTCTCTCTCTCTCTCTCTCTCCCTCTCCTCTCCTGCTCTTTAATTGTTCAGAAACTACAAGAAGGTTTAATATTTATTTGACTTTGTTCGTATGCCCTTTATTTTTCTATGCACAGATCTACTTATGAAGAACTTATACAGATTGGAAGAAAATGTTATGATAAAAAAAAAACTATTTAATCCTCATGAGTTAGATTTCCTGTCTCTCCAACAGATGTTATCAGGATAATTGCAAACAAAACTCTATATAACACATACCAGGTGACTTAATATTTGTATTCAGTAATATAACTCCTAAAGTTGCATATCGGCTTCCCTGTAGACAGGGCAAACAAATCAAAGTGTGAATCCAGGTCTCTGGGACTTGACCTAGAAAACTTTAAAGCTTTGATTCTCTGAAAAACGGAGAGCTGGTTCTGAACTTAATTCCAAGAGCTCGCGGGCGTTTTGATAACTCTTTGTAACAGAGTGATTTTATAGTTTTGCTCTAACTTTGCCTGCGCTCCGGAAGTACCCTCCCTTTTCTGCTCAGCAGGGCTTTTTCACTTCTTGCTCCTTGTTTTTTTCCATTGCATCAGAGTGGCTTAGTAAAGTAAGAAAGGAGAGGTAAGGGATGAGGAGAGTGTGGGGAGTTACCATTGTCTCTGCAGTCCTAGCTCACCTGGGAAAACGTGCCCTTATTCTCCACCACCCTAAGGCCACGGTGGGGGCAGGAAGATCTCAGGTCTCTCTAAAGCCCAATTTGAAGGCATGATGGAGCAGGCTGCACAGTGTAAGGAGAGGAGGGTGTTCTGAGAATCTGCTTTTTCAGGTGATACAACAGTCTGTGGGGGTGGGGAGATGAGGCTGGGGGAAGCTAAGGACAAATGATTGGCTACTTCCTCCAACTTTTTTTTTTTGCTTATGGTTCTAGCAACCAATACCATCAATACCTATCTCCAAATTTGACTTTAAACAGCTTGGAAATAAACAATTACATATAAGGTTCCTGTGTCAGTATAAATTCTACTTTAGTTAGGAAACCTTGAATGATTAAATGGATCTGTGTGAAAAACAAGTACCCCAGGCCTGATTATTTTCAAAACCCCAAAGTGACTTAATAACTTTCCTACCAAATTTATACAATTATTCTCTCCTGCTCAACGTTTCCTCAGTTTTCCTTCAAAAATTGGACCATGTCTTCAGAAAATGGTTTGGTCTTGCTGTTTCTACCATGGCAAAATTTATTTTAGTTCTTCAGCTTTCCACCGTGCTTCTTTCTGTGCTTTCTGTCAGGTCTCTTCATCAAGAATGAGCCCCCTTATAAGCCTCCTGAGTACAAGCCTTCATACTCCTACTCTTCCTCTCCCACAAACCAGACCGTCTGGAGGCCTGGAGCTCTGCCACTCCATTAGCAGCTTCAGCTTAGAACTGGATTGGAAATGCCAAGCTTCCGGTGACATTACAGATTGCTGGTTGGTGCCGAACGCTGGCTTAGTTATATCCTTGGCAGGTCCCTGGATGCTAACCAGATAGCCCATGAGCTCCAAGTTAACAAGGTCGATGTGTTTTGAGTCGATCTCCAAAAACAAGAACGTTCTGTCTCTTAAAATTCAAATTAAATAAAGCAACTTAATAAGGCTCTTTTGTGTTTGGGACCCTCCCACACCCCCACCCTCCCACAGATGTTTCCACGGTCATTGTCCACAGGACTCTGAGAAGCTGTAGGAGGCCCGGCTTCCTCTCCACCATTGCGGAAAGGGAGCATGCTTCACGGGGCAGAGGCTGTGCTCCTCTGCGCCACCTGCACAGAGCTCCGGGGAGAGTGACCTGAAGGTATCCACGTTGGAGTGTTTGTGATATTTTGATTCACCATTTTTCTTAATATCTGTTTGAGGTATTAAGACAAATAATTTAATACAGTGTCAGAAACTAATGGCAGTTTAAAAGCAGTAACTATTCATTCTAAGAAGACATTTAGGTAGTTTTTTGAAACATTTTTTCATGATTGAAAAATTTTACTTGAAACAAATTATACTCACCATGGATTTTCAAACAGAGATTGAGAAGTGAAAAGCCACACTTACAGAATTACTATTAGCATCATGTTATATTGGAAAAGCAAATGGTTACCAGGGTTACCATTTACCAGGGTTACCATTTACCAGGGTTAAATGGTAAATTCAATGTAAATGTTTATGTAAATTTTTTATGAAAATTTATACGAAGTTTTTAAGTTTAATTTTTATCTTTAAGATTTTTTTTTTTTTAGTTTGTTTTTAGTCCAGCTTTTTCAAAGTAAGAAGAGTAGGGTGGATCCGCACAGGTGTTTGGCAGACTAAGGTATTATGAAACTTACCCTCCCTGTCTCAGAGTTGCATTATGTGGTTGGCTCCAGTGACTACTGGCAAGCAGTCAGAGATTTTCAAGTATCCAAACTAGAGGAAGGTAATGAGATATAATGCCAAATTGTCATCTCAAATTACCTTTGGAACAAAAGAAAAAAAAAAGATGAGATTCCTAATTCCTAAAATTTTGTGTGTATTACTTTAATTATATACACCCTATTCGTATATTCCAAATTTTAGGGGTTTTTTTTCCTGAATATAAAAGTAATATATACCCTTCATACAAACTTCAAACATTACAGAACTATAAAATAAAACAAACTATCAATAGTTTTGGGATATATTTTTCCAAATTAAAAAGATTCTCTATCCTTTCAGTATTCAGTGTCCACTATTACTTTTCTTGTTTTGTTAACCCTCACCTGAGGATATTTTTCTATTGATTTTGGATGCAGTAGAAGGGAGGGAGGAGAGAGAGAAAGACAGAGAAAGAGAGAGAAAGAGAGAGACATCGATGTGAGAGAGACACGTGCCCCAACCAGGCCAGGAATCTAACTTGCAACCCAGGTAGGTACCCTTGACGGGAAATTGAACTCATGATCCTTCAGTGCCTGGGCTGACACTCTAATCACTAAGGAACATGAACAGGAGCTAGGGCCCAAGACTTTTAAGGGTGGAGATTTCAGGGGAGGTCCCAGGGGAAGATTTCAATAGACTATTCAGCAGTTTCCCAATTGTGTCATTTCAGGGTCTAGGCCTCCACTGAGCATCAGGGCAGGGAATCATTATTTAACGCAACTGGTCTGGAGGTGGCTGGCTTTGTTGTTTTGCTGAGCCTTGAGCTGAAATACAACTGAGACCGAGGCCTAGTATTTATCTGCATGGAGGAAAGGTCAGGGGAGGTTCCACCCTACAATTGTCCTTTACTAGGCACTCCACCCTGGTGACCTTCTCTTCCTGGCCATGGTCCTTGCTCTGCTCATGTCTAACTGCCTCCCACAAAAGCATATCAAGTATTATGAAAAAAATTAAAAAACATTCTAAATATTTTAAAACAGTCTTCATGTTACTCGTTGCTCTCACACTTCAGATTTTGTAATCACCAACTTCTTTACTTGTTATTGGCACCAACTTCTCCTCCTAAGTTTATGTCTGTATTCTAGGGCCTAAGCATGAGGCCTAGCATATAGAAAGTGTTCAATAAATATTTTAAATAAATTAAGGGATAAATAACTGCGTGAGGAATAAGGGATGGCTTCACAAGATGATGTTGAGCTAGATATTGAAGGAAAAGGATAAAATCGGTTGAGTGCTTATTATGTGACAGGCACTGTTCTAAATACTTGATACTTAGTGTGTGTGTGTGGGGGGGAATTATTTTCCTCTCAACTTTCAAAGTTCTTCTGGCTAAGCTAATTATCAAATTATCATTAGACAGATTAACAGGAGAAAATTACCAAATTTGTTACGAATGTACATACGAGGGTTCCATAAGAATATAGGGCCCAAGAATGCATTGGGAAGTTGAGACTTATATACCATCTTGGGCTATAGAGAAAGGGGCTTGTAGTTTGGGATTTCAAAGGCAGGAAGGCAATATTAAAGCAAAAGTTTGGTAAATAAATGTTTGCTAGGCCGTCTTTACCAATGAAACACTGAGAGGACTTTGATTAAATGGGCCTTGACAAATTCCTCCCTATCATATGCTAGTTCATGCTAAATTATAGTTATCTATGTTGATATCTCCCTTCCTGGAATAGGTCCTCTATCTAAATTTGGGTAGTTAGGGAGAAAGCCAAAAGTGTTTTTGAGCTTTTTATTCCTTAAAAATAACCAGCTTGAAATAATATTCTGATGCAAGCAAATTTTGAGAACCATTATTCTAGACTGGCGATTCTCACCCTTGACGGAAAATTAGAATCATCTGGGTTCCTTGGGCAAAAAATCCTATTGCGAATGCTACAACCCGGACAATTAAGTCCACCATTCTTAATACAGTCAAGAGTGATTTTTAAAACTCTCCAGGTGGTTCTATTATGGCATAAAGATGGAAAGCTACCGATCGATATCCATGCTTTTAAAATTATGCTCTCCAGGTGCTGTGCCCTTTCCCGCTTCCTACAGGGCAGTGGCCTGCCTGCCCTGCTTCCTGATATTGTGTCCCTTACAGAAAGGCCACGGTGACGCTCCTTCCTGGATGAGGATTAAGCGCATGGGTGTGTTACTGAACTCAAGAGGTTTTCCGTTTGGGGTGCTCTATTTAAGAATGAGACACGATTGTCACAAGATAGTTTATTTACTTGCAGCAAGTACAGGAGTCAGGGGATTCATAACCAAAGCTCTGTCTCCCTGAAGGGAGGCGTGGCTATTGCTCATATACACTATTTGGTCAGTTACGCATTGATTTCTTCTTTGCAGTTGGCCACATTTACTGGTTAGGCTCCTGTCAAACTCATCCTGTTTACCACTGGTCTGCAAAATACTGTGCAACATTTGACCACTTAGCAAGAATAACGTTTAGTAATAACATTTAGAACTGCATAGGCCTTGAGACCCTTGTCCCATCTAACAGGTGGGCCGAAGCCTTTGCAGATATCAGATGTCACATATCAAACATGTCTACCCGCTTGCACCTGTTATGTTCAGTGTGAACATGGCTCTCCCTTCTTGGTTTGATATTATTAGGCTTTCACCAAATCCACAGGAAGGTGAACCTGGAATTAAATCAGCACCAGAAAACATAAATTGAAAGACCAGAGGCAAGGAACAGTATTCCTTTAAACAGAATTATTTTGGGAGGATTTTCTCAGGGGGGAGGTTTATCTTTATACACCGCTCTTACCACACAGCAGAAACTAGCAAGCTTCGCTGCCCTCAGTTACTGGCTTCGCTTCCACAGGGTCCTATTGATAGTGGGGAAGGGCACATAATAAGAACAAGTCATAGTTGTCCAATAATTATTCACCTCACTATAGATAAGACGTTTTCTTACAGACCCTGGAGGATGAAACAAGGCTGTAAAAAGATAAGATGCCTCCATGGGTCCATTACTCAGGAAAGAAATACAGTTTGAGAACAGACCAAGGGCAGAACACCCTTTGATTTGGTTGCTGTGTCCAGACCTTGACCCGCTCTGGGAGTTTTTCTCAGGAACGCTGACCATTCTCCTGTCCCAGGAACGGGCTGAGCTGTTTGTAACATCATAGAAGATTAGTCATCTTGTTATCAGACTTTGAGTTCCTGAAGGCCAAACTGCAAACTCTAACCTCCCCTTTCCATGTTACACTAGCTGCTTGCAGCTGCATGTAGCTATCTTCTCCCTGTGTGTATAGAAGCAGCCAACTGGCAAGGGCGGTCAGAGCAGAATTGCCAGGGAGACCGATTGCTCTCCCCATACTGCCGGCATTATTGGAATAAATGTTCATATATGATTCAACCCTGTCTCTGCTTAATTTGGCTCAAGTAGTGACAGGCTGCCTTGAACCCATTGAGTCTGGTTTCACTATCAGTGACTAATACAGACATTTCTATTCTCCAGTGTCATGGATACTGTGACCCTTTAGTCCCCTTAATAGTTGGTTCTCTTGCTGTTGTAAAGCCAAAAACATTGGCAAACCCAGCCAATGTAACCTTCAAAGCCTATGAAGGCATGATGTCACCAGGAAATGATGGCTAACACGCAATTAATTGATAAACTCCTACCTCCAGATGATGAACATTGCTGAGGCCTTGTATAGAAGAACGCTAGGATCGTTGTAGTTGAGTAGAAACCTTTCCCAGTGCTCCATATTGAAACTTCTATTTGCAGTGTTAAAATAAACTGTTTTGCAAACACACACCGATGACAGACTAAATAATGTCTTTTTGGGGGGAAATTTGTGGTCTTTTAATCTTCTACACATGTATAATATTGTCCAGAATATATTAGCATTAAATAAATGAAAGACCCAGCTTCTTTTTCCCAAATGCAATTCAGCAAAATAAGATAATGCTACCACATTTGAACATTTGAAAATTACTAGTCCGCTTACTGAAAACTTGTTCAGATATAAATGAGCAGTTAAGATATAAATGATTTATGCATGCTGTGGTTTGGGTTCCAAATGGATTTTAGTTTATGGATTTATTCCAAAATCACTTAATCACCATGCAGCTTCTCTCTCTCTCTCTCTCTCTCTCTCTCTCTTTCTGTATGTATGTACACATACATACAGAATATATACATAGGTTCTCTTAGAGGTTGGAGTTTTTGCATAAATTTTTGCATGTAGATAAGGTAAGGTTATAT